GATAGATTGATAGATAGATAGATAGATAGATAGATAGATAGATAGATAGATAGATAGATAGATAGATAGATAGATGATAGATAGATCTGATAGATAGATAGATAGATAGAGATGATAGATGTGTGGGTATGGGTGTAAATCTATACATTGAAGGGCTGGGGGTATAGCTCACTCAGTGGTAGAGAACTTGCTTAGAATGTGTAAGGTCCTGGGTTCCATCCTCAGCACCACAAGAAAAAAGTTTGCACATTGCATTTTTCTTCAAAAGAAATTTTTAAAAATATAGAAGTAAAACAGTGCTAGTGAGTCCATCCCCCCCTCCACACATACATACACACACACACACACACACACACACACACACACACACACACACACACACTTAGAGATGACAGCTAACCTCAGTTGCACTACAGGTAAGTTCATTCAGCCCAGTAGTACCCAAGTGACAAGCATATCCCAGGCCTCCTTTCCCGGGTCCCTGCCTTCCACCCTTTGGTTTTCATATTCATGAATAGTTAAAACACTAATTGCAGACACTTAGGTCGAGTTTTTGCACCAGCCCTTCAGTTTGCTGCCTTTTCTCTGCAAACCTGACCTGCTATCACCACTAAAATGAAAGTCTAAAAAAAGGAAAACCCGCATTCACACAGAAATGTTCACACTTTTATACCCTCACATGCAAAGAAGTAGAGATAAGGCAAAAGTAAATGTGTGCACACAAAACTGCATAAACCTGACTTACAAACACCCATCAACAAAATGACCCCTCACCCTCCCTGGGGGAGGGGCTTCCCTTACCATTCTGGACCACGCTGATGAGGGTGACAATGGCCAACAGGACAACATTGCCCAAGGTCTCTTGATCCATGCTTACTTCAGGCTCTCCGGAGGGGACTGACTGGTCTGGTCCCAGTGCCACAGCCTCACTGTGCAGAAAGGGGAAGTACCAGCGGGTACTCTGGCTTTTAGCACTAGAATTTCTGAAAGTCCCCAACACAGTTACACAGTACTGCTGCTCTTCCTCCCCCTCCTTCTCTTCCCCCTCCTTCTTCCTCTTTTTTTCATTCTTTCTTTTTAAATTATTAGCTAACAGAGTGACTGGGTTGTGGTTCAGTGTAACCTATCAGGAAAAGTAGGGCCTGAGGGAAAAGCAGGTTCACATTCTCCTGTACTGCTTATCATGGCCAACCTCTCTGGGAGCATTCAGCACGAATCCTGGCCCTAGACCTGGCTACCACAAGCCCAACAAGGATCAGAGGAAAATGGGACTTTAAAAAATGCTCATGGAACATACTGGAACAAGGGAGAAAGAAAACTAATGCATCCCTCAACTCTCACCAGTGAAACTTCCTTATACAACAGAGTACAGTGCACACAGAAGGCCACAGCTATCCAAGTTTTAAAGAATAACAGACCGCAGAGTGTATATCCTTGGATAGGACTCCTATATTGAACCCCACTCACCCACGGCTCAGTGACCACTGTGGAAAGTATATGTAGTTTCTGAATTAATCACATTTCTCCATTCATAAAGAATCACTAAGAGCCAGGTCTGGTTCATGAACATAGGGAAGCAGATGCTTTCAGGCCACTGGAAGCTTCCTCATGTGAACTTGTGGCAATGGTAGTATTGAGCACAGGACCCATGTCAACTCAATTAAACAAGGGCCTAGAGGGGAGGAGAGAAATGGATAGCGAACAACACTAAACTGAAAACTATTGGAGACTGATTGCTGCTGGGTGAGGGAGAGTATACCTTACATATGATCTCTAGATGAGCTGACTAGATGCCAGTGGACAAATTTATACAGAAGGACATTTGTGTAAAAATGTTTAACTGGATAGGATTTACCATGTATGGTGGAATACATGAGGTCCAGTGGAGGGATGGGGGAGGCATGGATGGGAGAGGGGGTCTAAATTTGATTAAGAACTGTTGTATGAAATTGCAAAAGCACATTAAAAAATATTAAATTAAGAAAAGGCATACATGAGCTGGAGAGCTGGCTCAGTTGTTAAGAATACTGACTGTTCTTACAGAAGACCCAGGTTCAAATCTCAGCACCCACATGGCACCTGATAACTGTCTTGTAACTCCAGTTCCAGGGTATCTGACAGCTTCTTCTGTCCTCCACGGGCATTGCACAACACAAGTGACCTTACACACATGCAGGCAATGTACACATACACATATAGTAAAAATAATAAATTAAAAAAGAAGCATACATCACCCCAAAGACCTGTGCCCTGAGTATGCCCTGTGTTGTTTTATTTTGTTTTGTTTTTTTGAAATTCCTAGTGGGGTAAAGAGATATTTAACATACTATAGGATTCAAAGAGCAGTCATATAGGCTGGGATGACTAAATGACTGAATGGTAATGGGTATGAGATACCTGATGTCTCCTTTCCTGTGAGAAAAGAAAAATGCATGGCTTGGGAGATAGCTCACGTGGTAAGGTGCTCGCCATGCAAGCATGAGGACTTGAGTTCAGTCCCCCATACCAAGATAAAAAGCAAAGTACGGTAGTGTGAGCTTGTAATCCCAACACTGGGGAAGCATAGACAGGAGAATCCCTGGGGTTCGCTGGTCAGCCATCTTTACTTACTTAGTGAGTTCCAAGCCAACAAGAGACCCTGTCCCCCAAAATAAGGTGGATAGTACCTGAGGAACAGCATCCAAAATTGGACCTCTGGCTTCCACATACATCTGTATCTGTACATGCACTCCACACACACAAGAACACACATAAAAAAGAAAAAAAAGTAAATGAAAGGAACTAAAGACCTCAACTAGAGATTAAAACCAAACTAAAGAGTCAGGTGTGGTGACACATGCCTTTAATCCCAGCACTAGGGAAGCAAAAGCAGGCAGATCTCTGTGAGAGCTAGACCATCCTGGTCTACATAGCAAGTACCAGGCCAGCTGGGGCTACAGAGAGACCCTGTCTCAAAAAGAAAAAAAAAAAAAAACTAAACCAAAGACTACAGCAAGACTCAGAAACAAAGCTGTGAGAAAACCCCCAAGGAAAACTTCCAAATGAGGGACTGTCAAACAGTGCAACTGGCTTCCCTGGATTTATTTCCAGCCTAACGAGAAGAGTACAGTCTCCATTGTGACAGAAAGTGTATAAGTAGACCTGCTGGTGGGCATGGAGGTCTCCTGGCATTCAACAAGACAGCTTTCTGTGTAAACAACAATTCTTTGACAATTATGCATAAAATGCAAGCTTCCTGCAATTTTTGTCCCAGACCCAACTATTTGACATGGGCAAGAGGGGCTTTATCCTTAATTGAAATTTTTTGTGTATTTTATACAGAACATCTCAAACAATCTTAATTTTCTTTATACTCCCATCCCCACTGGCACCCTCCCATAAGCCCCCCTCTCCTACTGGAGTCCATATACTCTGTCATCCCTGTTAAGGCCCACTGTGCCATCAGTGTCCCCAGCCATTCCCTAGTGCAAGTCAGTCCACTAAGTCTGGTCAGCCTATCTAGAGTCCCTTGTTTTAGAAAGATCAGCTCTTCTTCATCTAGCAGCAATCAGTTGCCAGCATTCCTTCAGATAAGATTGAGGTCTGCTGTTTATTTTCCCAGTTCTATGCTGGGTTACTATCTCCCCGAGTTTGCATGAGACTTGTATATGCTGACACCATTACCATAGAATCACATGAGCAGGTTCCCAGGAGCTTGTAGGACTGTTTCCATATGGTCATGGACCTCCTCCCCGGCTCTTACAAGAGGCACTTTTATCAAACCTCTGTCTGAAAGAGGACATTGGCCACTGTCATTGGTGGCAGCAGAAAGCTGCATCTCAGAGTGGGAAAGAAAAGGGTACAGAAGAACTCACTGTCCCCTGCCTACAGCAGCACAGGCCAGCTTGTCTGTCCTCAGTTACCTGAGAGGTATTCACAGAGGTGGTGTGCAGAGCTTGGAGGCATTGAAGCCAGCAATTGGAACAGTCAGGCTAGTCACCCTCACAGACTATCTGAGTGTCTGGGGCACATTCAAGATCACAGAGCATGTATCTATCAGGATTCTCCAGAAGGTAGAACCAATACATGGATATTTAAGAGAAAATCTAGTATGAGAATCAGCTCACATAGTTACAAGGCCAAGAAGTCCCATGATCTGGAGACCCAGGAAAGCTGATGGTGTAATTCAGTCACGTTCCAAAGTCCTGTCAATTTGGGAGGCTGAAGGCACAAGTCTGAATCCAAAAGCCAGAGAGCCAGTAGCTCTGATTTCCAGGGGTGGGAGATGAATTTCCCAGCTCAAGGAGAGAAGGGATTCATTCATTCACCTTTTGCTGTTCTTGGCCCTCGATAGATTGGATGATGTTCACTCGCACTAGTGAGGGCAGGTCTTCTTCATTCAGTCCAGTGACTCTTCCAGAAACATCCCATAGACTCATCCAGAAATAATGTTTTACCAGCTAACTGGGTATTCCATAGCTCAAAGAGTTGATATCTAAATTAACCACCACAGTTATAACATACTTGGTTATATATGGGCTCAACACTAACACAATTTGTGTATGTACCAGAGTGAGATCTCATTTGAAAGTGAGTTTTGGTAAGTTTTAAAGGATGTTGGAGTTTCAAGGGAAAAGTTCAAGCACCTATAAAGAGTTAGCCTTTCCAGATAGACATGGCAGCACATGCATAAAATCCCAGCACTTGGATGACTGAGGTAGGAAGCTTCAAATAAATTTAACCTTTCTAATAGTCACCATATCTTCATGATGATGCATCCGAAGACATGAGCAATCCCCTCTAAAATATCTCCAGATGAGTATAATAGCAAGTTAGCTCAAACTAGCCTGAGAAGAAAGGGAAAATAATTGGTTAAAGAATCCAAAGAACTGTGTAACCAAAAGTTATAAAGAATAGAAATGGGATTGGACATTGGAGCTAGGGAGTTCATACACACACTCTCTCAAATATAGCATTCTCAAATAGTTCTCTCTTTCTCTCTCTCTCTCTCTCTCTCTCTCTCTCTCTCTCACACCTACGCAGAGTCTCTCTCTCCCCTTCCCTCTCCCTCTCTATTATTATTTCTCTATATCTTCAGCTTTCTTGGCATGTTAGGCATTCTCTCTGTAGAACAATTTTCTCCACACAGTAGAAGATATTCCCACCTACAACTTCAGAATTTTACAATTTACATCACATCATCTGCCACCTGTCAAGGATAGACTATACTCACATAAGCTCTTAGGACAACCACTCAGGTTGACCAGGTATCTGTTCCCAGGAAGTCAGCTAAAAGGCAAAAACAAGGAGGAAAGAGTAGGGTAGATGGGATAGTCCCTAAAAGTTAGGCAGTGGAAAGTGCTGATGTGACTACCATGTGCTGTCTTATAACCCAAGATTGAAATATCCAGATTTGGGGGGAGGGCACATGTGGAGGCCAGAGGACAATCTCAGGTTCATTCCTCCTCTGATGCTATCTATCTTGTTTTTTGAAATAGTCTCTCACTGACCTGGAACTCACCAGTTAGAATAGGCTGGCTAGCCAGCAAGCAAATACACAGGGTTTTTTCTGAGACTCAAACTCAGGTTTTCATGTTTGTGAGGCGAGCACATTACCAACTGAATTCCCCAGCCCCCACGTCTCCAGTTTTTAAATATTTCTGTATCCCTGACTCCAGTGTCTTAAAGTTCACCCCCATCTCTTTCCTACTCCAGTTGTGCAAAGGGAAGCCAGATGTACTGGCATAGAAAAATCAGCATCCACAGGATCCAACAAGACACCCCCTAGGCACCACTGGACTCTTCCCAACCCTTTGCTTATTTCTTAAACCTTACAGAGTCCCCACACAGAGAGCACCCAGCCACTTGAGGTTCAGAGGGCCAAGAAGACCCCTGGTAGGTGGTTCAGGGACACACCTCTCTGAGGCCCTCAGAGTCATTCAAT